GTGGTTCCTGTGAAGCCAAACACTGTGGCACTGATGAGTCAAATGCAAGAATGGTTACCCATGGTAGACAGTGTTTGGTGAAGCTCCCAGATTAAAACAAGCTTGTAAACAGGAGTGGCATCCGCTTCCACAATAGCTTGCCTCTGGAAACTCTATGAACCGGGAAAAAGGACAAAAGTTATACAGGTGGTGTCCTGGACTTTCCTTCATAGTGTCACTATGAGTTGCCTGTGACTCAATGGCACTTAACAACAACAGTTTGTTATTAAGTTGATGGTAAAGAGCCAAGAGTTGTTGAATCCACTGTTCCACAGTTACCTCAGATGTATCAAAATATACCTGTGTTGTATGGAAGTAAAAATTCAAATTATGTATTCCTGAGTTCAAACTCTTGACAAAATATCATAACTATACCCATAATTTTGCTCTCAAGTATCAAGACATGGCATCCCTGAATATTTTGTTTATTACAACTTACCTTTCTCTTCTTTAAATTGGTCTGAAAAAAATAGAGAAAAATAAGTTTTAAGGATCAAAAGGTTTAATAACATGGTGAAGTTCTGACTATCGATAGGTGGCCAGATTAGCTATTGAAAATCATGACTGATAATTTTAAAGGATGATTCCTAATAACCAACCACTTAGAATGATTGCACCCCTGGTCCAGGCACTAAAGCTGAAGTAAAAAAAAAAAAACAAAAAAAAAAACAACCCAGAAAATATAAGCTTACTTTTTAGGAAACTGTCTTAAGCACATTATAGGAATTGTGTTGCTTAGAGGAAGCACTCTTATCATGGAAACTCGAGGAAACTAAGTGCAACAAAAGCTCTGTTTTACACTTTCATACAGGAGTGAGACAGTAGGAAAGCTTGGAATTACATTCACAGTAAAAAGTAACACTTCTCAAGAGGTAACTGAACAAACTATTTCATTGGATTAGCATCATCAAAAAAATTTCATTTTAATATGATAAAAGATTTAGCATCATTTTAAGGACCTTGTAAAAATATGATGGATATTTTTCCCTTTAGATTGCCCTGTTCTTAAATGTTGAAGTAGCAGCACTAATTGTTTTTATTTGATCTATATACAAGTTTATCAGTGGCAATGAAAGTTATAAAGAGAAATTAAAAATCATGTTGTAAATAGTTCACAATTTTCTAATCCTAAACTTTTCCTGCTAAATTGAAGAAATAATGGCTTGTTCCATATTAAGACACTCTGATGTTTTCCTGTTATGTGCTAATGTACCAGAATCCAATTTAACATTTTTATTTAAAAAAAAAAGAAGTGAAATCTCAGCTAGAGTAATTCTTTTTTAAAATCTACTTGTCATAGACTGTTTGACTATCATCACTCTATTATTATCAGATTATTGGGTTGTGAGCCAGTAACCAGTACATGATGAATTTTCTCTGACATAATGCATTGGTGTGTATAAATGCACAATGTATTATATTCTAAGGAGTCCCCATCACTAAGCACAAATTTCACCACCGGTTCAGGCACTGAGGCTCAAGTCATAAAGTTGAGAAAATAGGCTTGATTTTCAGGAAGAACTCTAAAGCACTTTTTAGGATTTGGATTGCCTAGAAAAAGCATTCTTTTTTTAAGAAAATTTTATTATTTTTGTGTGCGTGTACCGTCAAATGAGATCTGACTGGTACGGGAGGAGATTGCCCCTCCTTCCCCGGCAGAGCATCTGGTGGATTCGAACCGTGCACCTCTGGGATTGTAGTTGCAGCTTCTTGCCACTTATTGTGTAATCTTGAGCAAAGCAGATACAAAAATAGCTCTGTCTAATACTTTGTTACAGCAGACTGACTCTTCTCTCACACTAGGCAGGAGGAGCTATTGCTAGTATCCTGAAAAAAAAATTTAAAATACTGCATGTGTTAAAGTTAATTCAAGAATGAGACTAATATGACTGATGGGAGAACAATACAGAAAAGAGAAATGGACAAATGAAATTTTAACAATAAAAATTAATAAAAACCATAAAAGGGAAAAGGCATGAAAATACATTCAGAGGAAGTTTAATGGCAGAAATAATTTCCTTAGAAGAGAATACCTTGTCTGTAAATGGAATGCAGAAGCTTACCATTTTCTTTTTTAAGTAGTTCTGAAAAGGAAGTAAAGGGGGGGAATCATTTGTTTTAAAATAAGAACAAAACAAACAAATACATTTTCCAAAGCATTTTCCAT